ACTTCTGAAACATACTAATATTTCTGTTGGAAAAATTTTCCCAAGTCATCGACGTTCATATTCATTCTAGGAATGAAGCTTATGTGACATTTTCGTAGTACTTATTGGATTTATAAAAATTTTATATATTTTCAATACTTTGAACACGAATATTTATCAACTACAGCAAATACATAAAAATTGTAATGAAGTAATTTGTTCAATTCCTTGAGAATAACAAAAATCTATGTCGATCAATAATTCAGAGGCAATGAATTTCACAAACTAATCATTTCAGCAACAAAAACTTAAATTTCACAAAAAACTGAAATCACAAAGAAATAATATACATGCAACAATCAAAAAATAAAAAATTCAAATTTTAATTAGAGCTGAAAATTAAAAAATCAAAGAATATTATTAACAAAAAATGAAAAATTGAAATTAAAAGATTCCAAACCAAGTTACGTCACAACGTTCCGATTGTCAGTATCCACAATCGTCTTCGGGTGATAACTGTACTTATTTCTCCGAGATCTGACTATTTATAGGTCATTCGAGTGCTTTCACCTATCCCCTCTTCCCTCTCTCCACTTCATTGGTTTCAGTGGGCGATGACCGTTTGGCGGGAGTTGGTTGTTTTTCCCTTGATTAGAGGTTTCCATATGTTACATATCTCTACGCTAACTTGACTAAATGCATTGTTGGTTTTTTTGAATTTTCTCCTGAACTAGTGTTCCTCTTTGTGCATGATTTCAGCTTGAGTCCACTTGATGTTATGTTGATGAGTCCAAACATGCTCTACTATTCCGGATTTGCTGGTTTCTCCTCGATGTTTGTGTTTCTTGTGCTCAGCAATGCGAACTTCCAATGGTCTCTTGGTGACTTTTTAGAGAAGAATATATCGGTGAATCTAAGAGGCCATTGGAAGTTCGCAATGCTGAGCTCAAGAAACACACACAGCTAGGAGTAACTAGCAAATCCGGAATAGCAGAGTATGTTTGGAATCATCAACATAACATCAAGTGGACTCAAAGCTGAAATCATCCACAAAGAGCAACATTGGTTTAGGAGAAAATTCAAAGAAGCCGCGTATATGTTATCCAACAACGCATTTAGTTCACTTCATCCAAATCAGCATGCACATACTCCGAGAAGGTCCACTGATTCGGCCCTTCACCATGTGGTTGGCAGAATGGAGAGATCATTGGACAACAAAGAATCCATCCTGGATATATTCATAGATATCGAGGTAGCGTTTGATAAAACAACCTTCCTAACAATTACCCAGCAACTACACTACAGGAATATACCCCTGGTAGAAGGAGAATGAATACTCAAGATGCTCTCTAGTAGAGCAATAAGTATAAGACATCACAGTGAAAGGACTGGTCATGAGGAGATGTCCACAGGAAGGGGTCTTATCACCCCTTCTCTGGAACATAGTTCTGGATACCCTGATTAATCATCTTAACAAAAATGGATTCTACACAATTGCATATGCAGATGACAAAGTTATCTTGCACACCCGAAAATTTGTAAACACACTGTGCGATAGAGCGCTCAAATTAATAGAAACATGGTGTAACAGGGTCTTTCACCCTGTGTGGTCACCTGGATCTACATTACAATAATGGGACCTATGTTGACGTATGGAGCCATTGCATGGGGACCGAAAGTTCTACAAGCAACGGCCAGCCAAAAATTATATCAAATACAGCGACTGGCTTTTTTAAACATCACATGAGCCATGAGAACAACACCAACCGCGGCAATGGAATCAATCACGGGTCTGACCCCTCTGGATCTGTACGTTAAGGAGGTTGCGTTGATAGCCATGATACGATTGCGCACGGCTGGTGTGAACCTCGAAGTAGGAATGGGTCAATTGAGGCTGGGCCTATGGCGGGAAGCGCTTATTGCGCAACCTCTGCTGCAGGCAACCAATGATGCCATTGTACCCAAGTTTGTGTTTAATAAACACTACAAAATACAAATTAAGCAGAACATAGAGTCAGATGATACGAAGTCAGATGACTTCGACAATCGCGAAACTAGTCAAATGTTACATCCATGCTCAATCCTTGAAGAGATGGGATGGAATCAAAGGATGTAATCTTGCCAGGATCACCTTGGGCGACCCTGGGACGCTGGCGCCGAAGAAATATCTGGCGATGACCAGGAAAAATCTATGCCTAACAGTAGGATTTCTGACTGGCCACTGTCAACTAAGGAAACACCTCCATAATATGGGGCTAGTGGACACACCTCTATGCAGTATGTGTGAACAGGAAGATGAGACTGTCAAGCATGTCCTGTGCGAGTGCCCGGAGTTATCGTCAATAAGAGAGTCTGTGTTCGGCGAGTCTTGGCCTACACCTGTCGATATAGAGGAGATGTCTCCCAGTGACCTGTCCACCTTCCTGGAAAGGACAGGATGGACGATGGCCTAGGAGGACAACTCCTCGGCTATCGTCAATAAGAGAGTCTGTGTTCGGCGAGTCTTGGCCTACACCTGTCGATATAGAGGAGATGTCTCCCAGTGACCTGTCCACCTTCCTGGAAAGGACAGGATGGACGATGGCCTAGGAGGACAACTCCTCGGGAGGATGTACAATGGGTCACATGTGGCCTAAGTGGTGTGGGCCACCACACCATTTGGAACGCATTAAGTCAAGCTAGCGTAGAGATACGTAACAGATGGAAACCTTTAAACGGTCATCTCCCGCTAAAACCAATGAAGCGGAGAGAGGGAAGAGGGGATATATGAAAGCACTCGAATGACCTATAAATAGTCAGATCTCAAAGGAATAAGTCCAGTTATCACCCGAAGATGATTGTAGTTACTAACAATTGAAACGTCGTGATGTAACTTGGTTTGGAATCTCTTAATTTAAATTTTTTATTTTTTGTCAATTATATTTTTTAATTTTTCAATTTTCAGCTTCAAATAATATTTAATTTTCAGCTTCAATTAATATTTGACTTTTTCATTTTTTGGTTCTTGCTTGTATGTTATTTCTTTGTTATTTCAGTTCTTTGTTCAATAAAATTTTGTTATTTTCCGTTAATCTTCTCAATTTTTTTTTCAGGGATTTCGAATCGATTTATATTACCTATATTAGACAATGGAAGTCCGAACTGATGAAATACACAACGAAACATTGTCAACCACCTTCAAAAAAAACTTATATTACTTTTCTTATGGGATTCGTTGAAATGTAGATGACTGAATTTTAGATATTTTTTTTGTACGCAAACTTTCAACCAACTTCTTCTAAACTGAAGGAATCAGAAGGAAGTTTTTGGATCAGTTCATCGACCAACAAAAAATGATTCATAAGCTCTCTTGAGGGCTTTTTGTTTGCATCTGCAAGTAACTTCTAAGCATGGTCTACACATTTTTGTAGAATGTTCACTTCGAACATAGGTATTTGCTTCCTTTCTTCCTTACGAAGTTTTTTCCAATTTTTCGTACAACATGGGAACAATGAAAAACTAATAGCTTTTTTTTCCAAAAACGTATGGGATATGACCCATCACTAACCTAATAAATTATGAAAATTTCGGTATAGATCTTTTCGACAAAACCTCAAAATCACGTCACATAATCTTGAGAACACATCACAAAATTCAAAGAAAAATTCGATTTGAAATAGTTTCTTTCGAGCAACCATAAGTCTATCCTTCTATATGAAAAAGTTAAGGTCCACGTTGAGGACCGTAGTATATATGCTACCCCCTGAATTTCATATTGTAATATCCCAATTATAATTTGTTTCATGAAAATCAATAATCAAATAATTAACTTATGCTGTCGTATAACTCTGGGACAAAAATATTCCAAAATAAACGTTCGAATAGTAAAACAATAAAGTCACTATTTCCTTGAATAAATATGTTCATATATTCATTCCGGGGTAAGATAAATCTCCATGCAGACAACCAAAATACATTAATAATGTTAACAATTAATCATCGTCACGAAAATCTAATTTTAGTATAAATCAGGTGATACCCTCTCATGATGTGACAAATTCATCTCGATGATGCATTACGACCACTCAGCAAAATTGTCAGATATAAAGTGCTTTTCACTGGCAGGTGAGAAAACCATTTCGTCCCGTTCCTTCTCCGGAGGATCGTCCTCAAGATCCCCTCAAACAGAATTGTGTTTTTAGACTCGAAATGATTTTGTAAAACACATAATGTGAAGCACATTTCATTAGGTGATTTTGATTACATAGTAACGAAAATGTTTCCTTTGGATTAGATGTTATTTTACAAAATCGTGTCAGGTGTGAGGTATGAAGGTACAATTTGCAGGAGAGTGGCTTTTGTTTGAAGCTGATTGGCAATGTTTCATGATGAATTTCCATTGTCTTATGTTATACAAAATTATTTGAAATCCCTGAAAGAACTAAAAAAGAAGAAATAAAAATTGATGAAGAAGAATACAAATGAATAACTTTGGGTGATGACTGAGTCATCACCCGAAGATGATTGTGGATACTAACAATCGAAACGTCGTGAAGTAATTTGGATTGGAATCTCTTGATTTTTCAATTTTATTTTCTTTTTTGTTCCATTTGTTCCATTTTCACTTGTATTTTATTTCACTATTATTTCATTTCAGGTTTTTTGTTTGGTATAATTGTTTTTCAGCTATTCATTTTTAATTCTTCTGTTTCAGTTCTTTCAGGGATTTCAAATCGTTTTATATAACATCAGACAATGGAAGTCCGAACTAATGAAATTCAGAGTGGCTTTTGTTCAAATTGAAAGGAGAGGGATTTTTTCCAATTAGTGTCTGAAACTTACTTCTCTGCATTTTTGTATTGATTCACTTTTTGAAATTGGCTGCTTTCTTCTTTTCTTTGAAAGGTTCCCACATTTTTTCGTACGAATATGGAGAAGTATAGAGCCAAAACTTTTCTATCCCAGTGGTTTTCGGTTGTGCATGTGATACTATAGACAAATAAGCATGGAAAAATCAATTCTACTCTTTATTTTCGTTTCAGGCAAGAATGTCGTTCTCAAAGTACAACGTGAACGCCTTGACGGATCCTCTTTCAGCCCTTCCATCGCCGATTATCCGAAGACCTCGACAGAATTCGGTGTTCGTCGGTAGCTCTACGATAGCTACGATGAATCCACCTCCACGTCGTTCGAAATCTGCCATTGACATTCACCATCTTGTTGTCAATGAACACAGTCCGACTGCTTCGCTCACAGGTAATAGAAAAGGTATCTATCTACTGCACTTCAATAATTTGTAAAGCACTATAATAGGGGAACCTAAGCGGGGATTTCGGGATTTACTAAAGCGCGGCAGATTAATATACAGGGGGATACCTTGCACAGGGTTGAGTACCTCCACCAAATATGAGCCCCATATTTAAGGCCGCCTGTGAGGGATAAAGGATCAGATTAGTAGAAAAAATTGATCATCAGAAATTCTCGAGCGCGTCAGATTAAGGTAGGGTGAGTTATTTACCTGCTGAAAAGTGTATATTCCAGTAATCTGACAATTTGAGAGTGAAGTAAAGAAAGGGGAGGGCAGCAAAGTTGTACAAAATAACGTCATATCGACATTCTCGAGCGTAGCAATTTTTTTTTATTTCGAAGGAAATAATTCAATGATAACGAAAAATATATAATATGACGATTTCCTCAAGCCGAATTAACAAAAATTCATCGATAAAGTTCAATGCGTGCAGCTGTGTGATACCTATATTTCCCTCTCCGAGTTTCTATTCCTCTATTCTCCATTCACTCTTTCTCTATATATTACTCTCTCACTTCGTCCCCACTCTGAATTCTGTTGCCATGACAGCTGATCACAGAGACTCGTTTGGTGAAGATGAAGATGATGATTAATTAATCAATTAATTGATGGATGTAGTCGTTATCACGTGGTAGGAGATCATAATGAAGAAAAGATAAATTAAACTGTCTATGTTTTTTAATATTTTCATTTGTAACTAACGTTACTGCAGTTTCGTCCTATAGGGACATTTTCAAACTCATACAATATATAATTTTGAAAATGTCCTTATAGGACGAAACTGCAGTAACGTTAGTTACAAATAAAAGTGGTAAAAACATAGAAAGTTTCATTTCTCTTTTCTTCATTAATTAATCAATTGATTTTGAAAAATTATTTCTTTTTGAGCATTTTTTAAAAATTATTTTCTTATATATACAAGTATTCTACTTTAAATACACTTATTTATTTGCATGCTATTTCCTGAGCTATTCAATTGATTGAGTTCAATGAATTGTGAAAAATAAAAATAAATATTGTTTTTGTCAGATTAAGCGAATACCTCTAGATAATCGTCAGATTATGAGACAGCACGTCTGAAACATACAGATGAACCATATATATCTATCTGACGCGCTTGAGTATTTCTAAATGGCGAATTTATTTTGCACATTATAATAATGGCCGCGAGTTTGCGTCAGTTCCAAATCGTCAGATTATTGAATGAGAGCATTTTTTTGTTGCACTTAACACCCCCTTAGAAAATCTGAAGCGCTCGATTACATTTTTTTTCTTTTCACTTTTAACCCTTACGTACAACCACCCACATCATGCAAACGATCAGATTAACATACCAACATTATTAAAAATACGTAGAACATTGATGCTATCAATATCTGACGCGCTTGAGTATGTCCATGCAACAGTATTTTTTTACATATTTAAACATCTATAGCTGCTTCCCCCACCGATGAAAAGGTATATATTATATAACATTTTTTTTCTTCTTATCATCGAAGCTTTGCATCGTAATATGTCTCAATGACGTTCGAGTAAATCCCCATTTTGCATCGTGGGCTCCCCTGCTATTGGATAACATATATGTGGATGATTTCGGCTTGAGCCCACTTGATGTTATGCTGATGAGTCCAAACGTGCTCTGCTATTTCTGATTTGCTGGTTTCTCCTCGCTGTGTGTGTTTCTTACGCTCGGCAATGCGATTTATGATTCTCCGCACTAGCAGGGTATCCGGTAAATTCAATTCTTAGACTCGTAGTCCGCATTTGGTGGTCTGGTTTTTGTGAGGATTTTACGGATAATGTTTCCAGATCTGAAGCAGGTTCTGATGTTATACTTGGACCCAATCCTTCTTATCCTTTTCGACAATCCTCTGTATGTAGGAAAGTACAAGTACTGGTTGTGACGGCTTCTCTTCCTTGTAGAGCTCTTGCTGTCTTCTAGCTAAAGCCTGTTCTACCATCACTCTGGGGTAACCATTCCGTTGAAGGTCGTTTTTGATGATGCCTAGTTCCCTTTCGAGACCTTCCTTTGTATTACAGAGCCCAAAGGCATGATCTAGTAGAGTCTTAATGATTTCTCTCTCAGTCGATTGATGGTGGTTGGATTCCTGGTTCAGATAATGTCCTGTATGATTGGGTTTTCGATACACAGATGTTTCCCATTTCGTGTCGGTCCTCTTCACCAATACGTCTGAGAATGGCAATTCATTGTGGACTTCCTTCTCCATCGTGAAAGTGATGGAAGGACTCACGTTGTTGATATGCTTCAGGAAGGTGGTTCCATATTATGAAGGTGTCGTCCACGTATCTCAACCAGACTCGGGGCTTCTTGTGGGCTTTTTTAATTTTCATCTCGTATCAATAGTTCAATTTTCTTTTCGATTTTTTGGTTGTTATTTCTTAGCTAATCTCTTTTTGATTTTTTTACAGATTCTTTCAGGTATTTCAAATAAATTTATATCATATTAGACAATGAAAGTCCGAACTAATGATTGTGCATTTTAGATTATATCTTGAGAAAATTTTCGGCTGCTTTGGGAGCTTCCTGGCCTATGAAATTCTGCGAATGCTTTGAAAATGAATATATACTCATGAGCTTACTGTGTTCATCATATTTTTTTAGAGATAGTTTCGGTTATCCATGAATGACATCCTGAGTATTACGAGCTGTCTATAGCAATCTTGTGATTTTTCTATGGCTATTTTGTATATTTCACAGATTCCACAGTGGGTTGAGTGGAAGATTATTGTCACATTTTTCGTATCCTGTGATTCCCGAGTACTTTCCAGGGTCGCATGTGGTTCCACCTGGAAGACGGATGTGCATTGACCAAGCTAATGGTGATCTCGATTTTTCATCAGGTATTTTGCTAAATATTGACCCGAAATGACCTATTTTAGAACTGTGATCCTTGGTGTCGGGTAAACTATGTTTGAGATTCGTTCTTCCTCTAGAAGTAGATTATTCCTTTTTTACAAAATGTGAAGACGTTGGATTAAGGATTGTTGTGTGGTTAACATGTTGTAATGTTGTAGTTTCACCTTACAAATGAATTTTTTCACCTCTCTGTTTGTTTCTAAGATTATTCGTTACACTTTCGGTCATAGAATCAAAAATGCGTTTGATATACTCGTAAAGGATTATACCACCATTGTGTATGGCAATACATTATGTCTGGTTTCCACTCCTACATCATTTCTAGGTGTGTTACTTTCGTACATTTCATTCGAGCTATTTTTTATTCAAGCAGGAGTATTCTGCTGATTTTGTAACCCTTCTAGAAGTCGATGTTTGTTTTACATAGGATTGGTATGACCACCACTGAACAATTCTTCAGGTCAGTCTAGGATCTAACATCACCACCCCGATTTTGGTATTTCTGTACCTCTACCTTGATATTCTCTATCAATGCTACGAATTAGGTTGTGTTGAGCCATTCTTCAACACATCACTTGTTCAATTGTACAAGTTCTGCGCATGCGTTCCTTTGCTGTGTTTTGTTGCTAACCTGGATTGATATTTGACTAACTACTATTCGTTATGAAGTACTTCTGAATGCATCTGAAATGATTATATGAAATACTTCAGCTCTTGATGTTTTTCATTCAATACCCACGCCATGGAATATACTGTACACTAGTTTAATGTTCCGTACATACCCAATATGTATTTTCAACAGTGAACTTTCATCACTATAATTCACATCTTCTTTCATATTCCAGGTTCCATCATCCCGATTTTAAACAAAGAACGCAGGCCATCTCTCATAACTATCGAAAGACCCTACTACTCTCGCCACCGACCGTCGATAACTATCGACAGACCATACATCCACCACCAGTACCGCAAAAGAAGATCCTCGTGTTGCGCCGAACGTAACCCCTACCGCCACAGGAACTTCATCAGCTTCGAGCACAGCATCGATAGGAAAACTCTGCCGATTCAGGACCGGGCGTCTTGCAGCCATCATCCCACCATCAGCTTCGAAACTCCTCTGGAGTCCATGGAGTTGCCTGTAGCACCAGCAGAAATGGAACTGTCTGTAGAAGCTGGAGCGAAGCCGAAGGTCTCTCGCAGCTTCGAACAGCCTGTTATGAAGAAACTGAAGCCCGAGCGGTTGGCGGCTAGCTTGGACGTCACATTTGATTTCCATAGGAGGTCCTCTATACCAGAGGAAGACAGAGCATCGCCTGTGTCCATCCAAATGGACGAAAGCAAAATCACCGCGCCGCTTTTGGAGGGGCTTAAGAGTTCAGATGTGTGATAGTGTACGTGTGTTCAATTTGGGTTTCTAGTTGGTGCTTCAGAGTTTTTATCTTCCCACAAGTTTCTTGATGATGGGTTCACTCTCTATCTGCAGAGCCATGAAGAAACTTAAGCCGATGGAAATATTTTTTATTTTGTTTAAGATATAGAAGAATGAGTATCGTAAGATTTACGAGTGAGGCACGGTAGCCAGTTGGTTAATATGAGTTGTTCGTTCTTTCCATCCAATCAACCGCTTCGTGAACTTTGGTTGAAGGTAAGACCTCGTTAAAGCTAGGCGCGAATTCGGCGCATGTGAGCTGACCTGCACGTGCCGCACGAGACGTTCGTGTTAAGATTGTTGCCTACTTGTCCGGCAAAGCACTGCACGGCGCTGTCCGTCGCCTAATGACGACAGGTAGTAGCATCGCCCACTTGTCCAGCTACAACCAGCTTACTGAAGGTGCTGTTTGTTCGATTTCAAGGGAATTTTAATTGACATCGAGCGCTGACAGAAACATGTCTATTACTAGCAGTTATGATGAAGAAGTCGTCATTATAGTGGACGCATTATTGAATATAGAAGAAAATAGTCACAAAAAAAGGGTGTGGGTCCATCCCATTATTCAAAAGAGGGCAAATCTGGGAGAGTTTCATTATCTTCTCAATGAATGAAAGAAGATGAGGAAAAACGTTTCCTTTATTTCCGAATAACACCAGGCAAATTTTCAAAACTGCTGGATGTTCTAGAGTCTGCCTTAACATACAGCTCAATTTCTCCTCGTCCATTTTCATAGGTACCGCTCAACACCGTGCTGTCAACTAATGGAATAGCAAAACAGAGAGACAGAAACTTCCCAGGCACGTTTGGACAAGTTGATGTTGGCCGGCTACGCGCTCACTTAGCCAGTCCGTCACAGCATGTACTGTTATTTGCCAGACAGAATCGCAGAGCTGGAATCCTTTCCGGCGGCGGACGCTCTTGGCTGTGCCGTGCCGAACTAGTGGTCGCTTGTCCATTCACTTTCATTGTTCCAATCCTATACGTATTTAGACGGGGCGGTCCGTGCTGTGCTGTGCCGGACAAATGGGTGACAAGCTTCACACGTGTAGCGTGGATGATCTGCAAATTGAACACAGTTTCAAAGTAACGATCGTACCGTCATGTCCAATTGAGTTCGCAATCAGAATCCGCAAATGATGCTGAAGATGATGATTGCTTCATTGTTTACTCGTTAATCATAAAGTAAAATCACCGAAAACGTGAATTCTCTTAAAAAAAGAAAAATGTGGGCAATTTACGATATCAAAGCAGATGAGTGATGCTGATTTCAGTAATTACTTTCGAATGAACCAAACCAATTTGCAGAAGTGAATAGGATGAGCCAACGTGGCACTGACTCAATTGGATGTCAGGCCCAACAATCAATTTCTATACTGAACGTACAAAGCTTTTGGCGACACGCGAAAGAATTGACAGGAAAAACTGTGTCTCAATCACTGTGCCACGCGAGTCCCATGCGTGGCACCTCATGTCCGGGAGCTGTTTATTGGTTTTCATGGATTACGAAAGATCGCACTGTGCTGCGTCATCCCACACGTTTTCAATGTACTGCCAGGTGTGACCAACTGTTCTCTTGCTACACACACATGAATGCAACAACACAAAAACAGAAACAATAAAAACGAAAACTAATCCTGAGGCTAGACAGAAGTGCTCACCCCAATCTAAGGCGGTGGCTGGGGGTGAACAGAAATGTCCTTGAAATGAGGCTGGACATAGATCACCTCCAACAGCAAGGGTACTTCCTGCTGCGAACGCCAAGAGCTCCGCCTTGAATGAAGGCAAGGAATCGGCTGCCCCTGCAGGAAAGCTCCCTCACTTGTGCACCTCCACGGAGGGAACCCCAAAAAGGTTGAAGAAGAAGCGTAACGACAGTAATGTCTCTGCAACAAAGTGTGTGTTCGGCGAGTATTGGCCTGCCAATATAAAGGAGATATCTCCTAGTGACCTGTCCACCTTTCCGAAAAGGACAGGATGGACGTTGACCTAGGAGGACAACTCTTCGAGAGGATGAACAACAGTTCACATGTGGCCTTAGTGCTGTGAGTCTACACCCACCCTCCCTACTCTACAGAAACAGAATCTTAAGTGAAGCCATAATTACATTATCGCCAACTATTGATGCACCCCGCGTTAAGAATGATCCATTCTTGAATTCGTCAATGTTTCCTCACCTAGAATGATCAAGTAGGGTGGTGGTTGACTTTTGATCAATATCGTGCACCTGAAACATTTGGAAAAAGGAACATAACATTTTTTTGACTAAAACTTCTCGAACAACTTGTACGATCTATGAACTAACGAAGTCTCACGTCTCAAGTAGATATTCTATGAAAGAACTATGATCAAAATGACCGTTCTCTTATGTAAATCTCCATGAGGAAAAACGTGTTCAACATATCATTTTTAACACAAAATTTTCCGAAAAGTCGCTTGATCTGATCGGAAAGTTACTAAATTTGCACCTGAAGTAATTATATTTGTGAAAAAAATCACTAGATTTGTCCCCAACGTCACTAATTTTCTTCAAAAACTCCCTACATGTCCCCAAGAAAACACTAGATTTTTATCCAATATCATATAGGGAGAGGACGACAACCGAATCTAACTTGTTGATTCTGTTACTGCATTCATTGAAGATTTCCTAGAATGAAAGTCCTTTATCAAAAAAAGCATACATTACGGCATGCCAAAAGGTCCCTGAGGCATATCTTTGTCAATAATATTCGGATCGTAACCTGTAGCACATCAAATGAAAAAGAGAGACATGCAGAAGTGCCCTTTTGGTATGTCGCCATAATCGATTTTAGTAAGGGATTTTTATAAGGTGGGAACTAGGATCTCTCCAATGAATCTAGTAACAAAATCAACAAATTAGATTCGGTTGTCATACTCTCCCTATATTTCGGGAAAAAAAAATCTAGTGATTTCTTGGGAAAATCTAGGAATTTTTCAAAATAAAGAGTGATATTTTTGGCAGATGTAATGACATTTGAAGAAAGCTTGTGACAAAAATGACATGTGTGACCTGCTTTTCTTATGGAAAAACAGCCATTTCGTTCCTATTTCTCTCATAGCATCAAGGTTCCCATCACGGCTCAGATGGGATATGATTCAATAGGTAAACTTAACCCTTCACGCCACCGTTCCAATGCAAATGTTGTTTTCTTCTGATGAAGAACAAATTATTCGGGGTAAATCCGTAATTTCGAGATTCAATTGTATTACATACATTTTCTAATATACTTTTTGTTCGAAAGACGTATTGAAAAATGATTTGCCATTTCAATTATGAAAAAGGGAGTGGTCCAGAAAAACTGCTAAATTATTGTACAATTTTTTCAAGTGAAGTGATTATAGACTTGAAAGGTTTAGTTTTCATCACTAGAGAATCAATCCAGAAGTGCTTTTTCACCAATAGAAAATGTTAAAACATTATTATGTATGTTACATTGTCCCTACTATGAGCATGTAAAGTCTTTTGGGATTAATTATTCCATTATTATCATTATCATAACTGGAAAATGAGCTTCAGTTCAATCAAGTATTTATATTCAAGATTTCTCAATTGCAGTCGATGATACTCATTGTTCTAACGATAATTCGAAGCATAAAAACTCTGCCAATGACACCATGTCAATTAGTCTAACAGATCTCAGATTTTCGATGTTCTCTTATGATTTTCGAGACATTGCAATATATCTGATTTGTTCAAATGCAACTGCAAACCCGTTAACAATAAAGAATAATGTATCTGGACCGTCGTGTAATAAGACAACGATATTTGATTTACGTATGAAAAATCCAGGTGGTGGATCGATATTATCAGGGAAAATACGTGAGGAGAGTTGTGTGAACAAAATATTTCCAAAAATGATGAAAAATGTCTCAATAAAGTGAAAAGAGTAAAAACAGTCTATATTGTAGACAGCCTATATCTGGAAGGGTGGATGATTCATGTATCCTGACAATACTAAGGTTGCTGTATCGGCAAAGACAACAGGAAAAATACTGAACAAGTCATATAAAGATTGCAGATAGAATAGTATGTGACGTATTCAATTATTTTGATGCGAGATTTCCACTTGAAAGTTCACGAAACTGCAACATGTGTTTCACTATACAATAGCAGCTCCAGACGTCACAATACTGACGCCCGAATACATCGCAGTGGGTTCAGACGTGTTGATGAAGAAACAGAATTTGGAAGACATGGCAACGATGGATTCAATATCTGATTTCACTTGAAAGTTTGCTGAAGGGAGGGATTCATATGGAATATGAATCTGGGTATCATCTGCGTATTGGTTACAGCACCTGCACTTGATATGAATTTGGAACTCGTGTATATAGATGATGAATAGCACAGGTTCCAAAATAGAGCCTTGTAGGATCCATTCTCCGTGTGCAGAAAGTTGAAGCAATTCCCTTCTATTAAAAGAGACTGCATTTGATTTAGGTATGTAGACCTGAAAAATACAGTTTTTCACTATTATTATTTCATCCTTTCCTCTGATCAAATTCTTTTATATAGTAAGTGTCGAGAGTGAAAAATTATTGAACCAATTCCATCGATTTTATATCATAAATCAATAATTCATTCAATTAATGAGGAACAGTATTTTCGGCTGATAATTAATATATATCCACCACCATTATTCAACCATTAACAAATTTCTTCAAAACACAAAACTAGTGGAAGTTTCTATTGCTCAAGATTAACAGTACCAATTACTATCGTATTGATCAAGTTTTGTCTAGCATGCCTTTCTAACAAACCTCTGAATAATATAAAAGCTTTAACTCTTGTTTGTGAATAAGAAAATTATTATAAAGTTGTCATAGTAATAATGATAGTGTGTAGCATATCATATCACGTTAAAAAGTATATATCTAGGTAGATAATATTTCAAAGTTGATAGTTGAAATTTTATATTGGAAGTTTCGGAAATAATTTCAAACTGAGTTTTGAACTGCTGTTAATGAGGAGAACATTTTACTTTTCGATTTGGAATATCAACAATATTAGTACAATTTTCATTTCTCTTGTATTTCACCAATTTGGACTTCCATTATCTAATATGATTGACAGATTATTCTCGGATGATCTATTTATTCATCTGTTCCAGAAGAAACTCAAATGAAAATTCGTGAAGCATTGGTCTGTATGACTCTAGTTGAGAAAATATAATTTAGGTGACTTCGACGTAAGAATGAGAAGTTTATTTCCTTCCTTTCTTCATTCCTTGAATGAAGAAAAGGTGTAATCGAAGGTTAAGATGCATTTGTCAAACAAAGATATTCGAACTAGTCTCGACATTATTTGTGACATTTTTTTCTCAATTAATGTTTCGAAATAATAACAAACGACGAGTTTACATGTGAAGGCTGAG